GAATAGTGAATGGAGTGGAACTTGTTAAGTTTCTTATTAAATGTATATATGTAATTCATATTTACCTGATATGGTATATATGATTCTTAATGGTAAAACCTAATGTTTTAATTGTAAATGTTTTTTGTGGGACTGAGTTTTTGTTAAATACAGGTGAATCCCCAAAATGAATTTTTAACCATAGCTTTGAAAAAGTTCGAAAATCTTTGGGACATTACTTACCGTTTAGACATTTCTTCTTTTTCAAACATATAACCATGTAAAGATTAGTTTTTTGCATCCCTTTTTAAGTTATGCTAATGCGTATATTTTGGGTTGGTTTCACTTATGACTTTACAGACAATTACACGCATCCACGACACAATTATTAATTAAGTTTGAAATGATACTTAAAAACATAACTTAATTGGGATAATGATTTACACACCTGAATAATGCATTTAAACATTGAGGATGGAGAAGAATGATCTATTGCTACTGCAATCCTAAATACGAAATGGACTGTCGGGAATGATCTATTTCAAAGAGAGAGAGAGAGGTCATTTTCCTAAATTAGTTGCACATTTTGATCAAGTACTTTATTCCTAATCATATTTTTTGTTGGTGATTTTGTATCATCAATGTGTATTTAAATGTAATTGATTGACTTGTTGACCAAAATCAATCTTGATGAATATTAAACAAGGATGGTGCGGAGTGCACACTTGTTGAAGTTTATTCAAGATTAAAAGTAGACTGTCATTTAGGGGCGAAGCCCCTGAACGAACGGGGGTCCGCGGGCAGCGCCCCTGGGAGCGGGGTCCAAGGGACGGCAGCCCCTGCCGGGGTCCAAGGGGCAGAGCCCTGGCTGAGGTTTTATTTGAGTTATATTGCTATATTAAAAATGCATCAGAAATCTGAATTTTTGGAAATAAACCTGATTTTTTACTTTGTTTTGATCCTTATAGAAAGAACCCGGATTAGTGACAGTTTTCAGAGATCAAACTTTTTTTTGTGACAATTTTTCAGATATATAACTGTCTTGTGACCGTTTTCTGATGGAAAAGGTATTTAATTAATTTTGGTCTTCATTTGATGGTACATTCGAAATTCATAACAGTTATATTTTTTGTTTTTGCTTTCAATTTATGAGTCTTGTCCGATTAAAGATTGGGAGTACCACCCAAATACTTTAATTTGAAAATGATACCACAATTCTCAGAATTTCCAAGCCTTGTATACCCAAATTTCTAACATTTTTATCGATATCCCTTTATAAAATAAAAGATAAATGGGTAATTGTATATGTTACTAACACTCGTAATCGATGGGATTAAAGTAAAACAAAATTTTGCTATAAAAATGAATAAATTTAAAAAGTATATACATTCCAAATCAGAGAAAAATATAGATTGTACAACCACTTTTACGGTTCCTTTTTAAAATATAATTTTAAATGAAACAAATCTTAAATCTTAAACTATTGACGAAGTGTTTAGTAAACTAACTATAGCAACAAGTTAAAAGATGAAACTCGAAGTTGAAAACTGTAGATTTTATTTTATTTGTATAAAAATATTCAACAAACTGATCAGTGGCGGACATAGAAGGTTTTTGGAGTGACTAGTACGACCTTTCAAATTTTAAAACACAATGTAATTTTTTTCATAAATTTTTCAACATGCTACCTCTAAAACCATTTATGCCACCAATGAGATAAATTTTGAATCACCTCTAATTAGGGATGTGATAAAAAATCAAAACTGAATAACCAAACCAAACCAAATGATGTTTGGTTTATTTGGTTATTTTGTTAATTTGGTTTGGTTAACCGAATAAAAGTATCTTATTTGGTTTGGTTTTGGTTAACTTTTTATGATTTTGGTTAAACCGAAAAACCCGAATAAACTATATATATATATATATATATATATATATATATATATATATATATATATATATATATATATATATATATATATATATAGGAGTAGGATCAAATGAGAACACCTAAAAGGTTGAGAACGCGAGAACGGATATCATCATCTTAGATCCAAGACTATAATTAATTAGAAGTTTTGTTATTATTAAAATGTTTAAATTCAATTAATTTGAATTAAAAATAAGAAAAGGGTATCATGATAAATAATCATTCCCTTATTTTAAACAACTCCTAAAATCACTCGGTCTCTCCCCCCACGGTTTTCTCTCATCTATTCGACCGCTTCCCACTGCTCCTTTTACATCGATTTCGGAATGAGCCCACTCTGTTCCACCATCGTCTCCACCGATATCTCCATCTTTTGTACCATTCTCCTCTCTGCTTAGTAACATCATCTCTATCCCTTAGATCCGAGCCCTAATTACTAAAACGACAATGATAGAAGATCAAGAAGGATCTCAAGTCCTCACTCCTCCGCCGCCTCAGCCACTGTGACAACCCTAGACAATCATGGGTTCTGCGATCAAAATCACGATAGATTATAGGTCAATAGATCACACAAAGGTATATATGTCTCCGATTACTCAAAACCTTGATGCGAATACAGTTGTTTTTTGTTCAATTTAGTTGATTTCAGTGAATGTTAACCATGGCTGCCAGACTGAAGCTGTAATCTGTATCGCTGAGATTCGAAGGAAACCCTATAGTTTTCGCCTTCCGTTTTTTTTCTTTATTCGGATGTTTCATTAGGGTTTCGTTGGGTTCAAATTTTAACGATGGCAGCCTCTTTGAGATCAATCCATCCTGTTTGGCTTCAATTTTGTGTTCATTCTCCAATTGGGATCTTGTATGAAGATGAAACTTGGAAGACCTCTTTGAAATCAATCCATCCTGTTTGGCTGCTTGTTTACATATTTAGTTGCAATTGGTGTCATGAGCAGTTCTTCTTGCTAATCTGATAACTGTTGGACCCGATGTACTTTTCTTTTACACTCAGTAAGTTGTTACAAGTCACAAACCCTTTATGTTTCAGTTGTAATCTTATATGAATACAATGTCAGATGTCTCATTTGCAGTTAATCATCAATGAATACTCCATGAGGCTGGTTCGAGAGGAGCAAGGAAAGCAGCCACGACAATGCAGGTGAGGGGAAAAAGCCAAGAGGCGGTTGCCTCTTTTGATTTCACCGGAAACACAACCCCATCCTGGTGGTTATTCTTAGCAGGGAACGAAGAATAAGAAATGATAATTTTTACACTATTTTTATTTTGTATTTATTTATGAATAGAGTGTATTCATTTGTGAATATCAGTGTATTTATGTGTGATACATAATTGTTTCTTTAACATTTTTGCAGATCCAATGAATAAACATGCATATAGTGGGAGGTGGGAGATTTACCAAATGAAACACCGACACCAATAGATTTCGGAAGGAGCGCAAAGATGTTTGATTCATTTATGATTGTAATTGCAGTACTAGTTTCCGTATCAAAAAAATATATATTGTAACTTATTCATTTACAATTATAATTATATTCTTATATGAATAGAAATGTGTTTTCTTTATTTATATATGAGTATCATTTTAGTTGATTTTATAATCTTTTTTTCGGGTTTTATTCTTTTATGATTTTACAAGTGTATTCATAAATACATCTGAGTTAATTCATTTATAATTTACAATTTTATTCATTTTAAAATGAAATGTATAAATCATTATTTATGAAGATATTTTTTTTCAAATAAATGAGGTAAACCGATAAATTGTTCATTATCTTGATATTTGATTGCTAAAAATGAAACATAAAAATGAAAAATGAAATGAAAAAAAAACGTTTTTTTAGATATAAATTAAATCATGATTTTATTAATTATTGGTTCATTAAAAGAATAGGATCTAAAAAATGAGATATTTTGGGTAATTGTCATCATAATCACTAAAATTTAGGAAATCATAATTTAATTAGATGGTAAAATTCCATTTATGCCCTCTAAAAATGATTGGTCTACAACTGTTCTCGCGTTCTCAACCTTTTAGGTGTTCTCATTTGATCCTCTCCCTATATATATATATATATATATATATATATATATATATATATATATATAATTTTATATCTATAAATTAACATTTTATATTTAAATTGATATATAGTTACTAAAAATTATTTTATTACTCATTATTTAATTATTAACCATTATAAATTTATAATTATTTATATATTGTATTAAAAAACAACTAATTAGCCAAATGTTAGTTAATTAACCTTTGGTTAATTCTTTCCTTCTCATAGACCACAAAAGTTAATTTAACTCGTCTTTACAACTTATGTGACTACATCGATACTTCAAGACAGCATATCATGAAAGACCGAATATAATATTATATTTAGTTTATTTTTTTCATTTGGTAAAAACTTAGGAAGTTTTTTTTATAGTTTAATATTTATTGTTACATGCAAAATTTTAAACTGAATCAAATAATCCGTAACCGAATTAACCAAAACCGATTAAACCGAACATTATTTGTTTTGGTTATGATTAGTTTTAAGATGTAAAAAAACCAATAAACCGAACCAATTAAGCCGAAAACCGAAAAAACTAACCGAATAACACCCCTACTTCTAATAACAATATTAAAGTTTGTAATCCTGACACTATTCAATTTTGTGGCCATAGAAGTTCGACTGCACTGATTCCATGACATGTTTGCACTTTACAGTGGTGAATAATCGATGCGCGAAAGGTGACACGAAACCCTTGTTATTAGGAAGGAAAGTTCCCTTTCAAAAAGAAAAAAAGAGTAAAGTTCGTAACCTATTAAAAATGATATTTCATATAAGTTGTTTTTTTAAACATTAACTGTTTTGATAACCACAAAAATATAAACCACAAAATTTGTCAAAATTTCCGGCGCCAAAAGCTTCAATTTCATCCCTTAAATTTATCAGGCCAACAAAAACCAAACATTAGTTTCTGTTCCAAACCCCCAACCCCATTGATTTCTCTGCTACTCCTCCGATCCTATCGGACACGGCTAACAATTCCGATCCGATCTCTGGTATCGTTAAAAGCGATGCCGGAGATCGACAATATTCCGCCTCCGCCGCCGCCAGCTGCCAACTCTCTGTTTGGAAAGTATGAGCTCGGACGACTTCTTGGTTGCGGCGCTTTCGCCAAGGTTTACCTTGCCAGAGACATCGTCACCGGCCAGAGCCTCGCCGTCAAGGTTATCAATAAACAAAAAATCACTCATAACTCCAGTCTCATGTCTAATATCGAGCGCGAGATCGATATCATGCGCAGACTCCGGCATCCCAACATCGTTAAATTATACGAAGTTTTAGCTACAAAAACGAAGATCTATTTCGTGATGGAGCTCGTTAAAGGCGGTGAGTTGTTTGCAAAGGTTGCCAAGACTCGTCTTAGTGAATCCCAGAGCCGGAAATACTTTCAGCAACTGATCTCCGCCATCGGATATTGTCATTCTCGTGGTGTTTATCACCGAGATCTGAAACCGGAGAATCTTCTAATCGATGAGAATGGCAATTTGAAAGTTTCCGATTTTGGGTTGAGTGCTGTTACAGGACAGATCCGAGACGACGGTATGTTACACACACTGTGCGGCACGCCGGCTTACGTTGCACCGGAGATTCTCACCAAGAGAGGATACAACGGAGCGAAGGCGGATGTATGGTCGTGTGGGGTCATCTTGTTCGTATTGACAGCCGGATACTTGCCGTTTAATGATCCAAATCTCATGATGATGTATAAGAAGATATATAGAGGCGAATACCATTTCGCAAAATGGATGACTGCGGATCTCCGGCGACTATTGGGTCGTCTTCTGGACACAAATCCGTCGACGAGGATCACCATCGATGACATCACACGTCATCCATGGTTCAGGAAAGGAAACAAAGGGATTTACGAGTGCGACGATGAAGAATTTCTCGTGAAGCCAGAACAGAATGATAAAACGATGGCGTTAAACGCATTCGACCTCATCTCGTTTTCCTCTGGTCTAAACCTCTCTCCTTTCTTCGACAACACATATAACTCATCGCATCAAGGCGAAAAACTGATTGTCGCCGGACGACCGGAGGAAGTTATCGAAAAGGTTCATGAGACGTTGAGGGAGGTGGATGTGAGGATCAAGAAGCGAAAAGATTGGGGTTTGGAGTTGGTTTGGCCAAACGGTAAATTTGTGATTGGATTGGAGGTTTTCCGGTTAACGGAAAGAGTGATGGTGGTGGAAGTTCGGAGTAGAGGTGGAGGCGCAGAGTTGTACGATGAGTTTTGGAAGAACAGAATCAGGCCGGAACTGCTCGAAAGAAGACGGGAAGTTCAGGTAGCTGACAGCTAGAGACTCGACACGTGTTGAGCAACTTTATTTGTCAAAATAACTTTTAAAAAAATCTAACATAATAAAACATTTTTTACCCTAAAAATAAATTAAAGAAAAAAAAAAGGTGAAAAATGGAAGCAGGGCTGTGGACCGTGAATGATCGCGAATGCTTAGAAAGGTGGTAGAAGCTTTTACCGTTTTGGATTTAAGGTAGAGTTTCTTAAAATTCTCATGCTGTAGATAATACGATGAGAGCTTTTTTGGTTAGTTCACGTGTTCAACCTCGTTTTTGAGTTCATGTATATGTATATGTATGAGCTACAACGTTTGTGTGTGTATATATATATGAGCTTTGTACTTTCACATTCATAAAGTTATTGTTCGTTCTTCAATAAATTGTAAAACGAACCATCATTCCCAGGAGGAAAACATGAAAAAAAATCCTTTGATATTAAATTTTGTGAAAAACCCATAGTTTTTTTTAACTGCAGCAAGTTTATTGGGACGAGTTAGATACCCAAACCTACACAAACACAACAACTTTAATATTTTATGGTTATAAATAGGGGTGGGCTCACTATCAGAACATAACTCATCTCAAACCCAAAGTACCAAAACAAAATGAAATTACAGTAAAAACCGAATAGCAAAACCGAAGTATAAGGTATGGTATTGGTTCGATTTAAGAAAGTAAATTTAGTTTGAACTTAGAAATGGGAAAAATACTGAAACCGATACCAAACAATAAATACCAAAATCGAAATGACACAAAGTAAGAACCAAATACCAAACCTAAATATAGGGTAGGGTACTGGTTGAGTTTATTGGTATTTTTGGTCATGCCTAGTTATAAAAACTAATATATATTTTTCTTGTTTGAGTTGAATTTGAAGAAGAAAATCTTTAAAAATATTGAGACTCAGATTTGAAGAATAAGAAGCAAGTATTTGTATTAGGCTTAGGCTCGAAGAAAGGTTTGTGGAATAAGAAACAAGTATTTGTGTTAAATGTGACTCGAACATTTGGAGCATTCGTATGAAACATTTGAGTTCAATGGAGCACTTGGAATTCAATTGAGCACTTGGGGTTCATGGAGCATGTAACAAAGGAACATATCATCTCAGAAATGGATGGATCTCCTGACAAAGGAACGGATCAAGTGACAATGGAACGCATATTTTAAAAGGAGGTATGGAGCACCTCGAAGTGGAATGGAGCATCCTATACTTGGATACACCACTTAGAAGTCAAGGTGCGCCACTATTTGAACTTGATATGCCACGAAGTGACATGATATGCTATCAAGTGACAGGATATGCCACCAAGTGACCGAATATGCCATTCATGAGGTGGATGCGCCATTATGGAGTGGATGTCTAGATATGCCAAACTTGGATAGGATGTGCCACCCTCAATCAAGATGCGCCATCTTGATGCAAGGATGTGTCACTTGGTTCCTTGATACACCAAGATATCCCTTGATGAGTCGTATGCTATGAAGTCCCATTGAGTTCAATGGTGCACTTGGGGTTCATGGAGCATGTAACAAAGGAACGGATCATATGAGAAAATGATGGATCTCCTGACAAAGGAACGGATATTCTAAAAGGAGGTATGGAGCACCTGGATGTGGAATGGAGCATCATATGCTTGGATGCACCACTTAGAAGTCAAGGTGCGCCACTATTGAAACTTGATATGCCACCAAGTGACATGACATGTCATCAAATGACAGGATATGCCACCAAGTGACCGGATATGCCATTCATAAGGTGGATGTGCCATTGTGGAGTGGATGTCCAGATATGCCAACCTTGGAGCCACTTTGTCACACCCCCGAACCAGACGGCGGAAACGTCCGGGGGCTTGTGCGTGACTTCATCTTGTAATATCATCACAATGCATATAATTGAAACAAGACAACACCATCATCATACATATCAAAGTACAACCAACATTGTTTACATCAAGTATAGTATCATAAATTACATGCCAAAATATTCAATGTATGATGATAACAAAATACGACAAATTCCACTTGTTCTTGTAGACCTTTCCGCATAACGATTCCCTGAGAATACAAGTTATTTTGAAAATGTCAACATATATAATGTTGGTGAGTTCATAAAAATGTTTGATTGAAAAGTTTTGAATTGTTCGTAAAACACCAGAAAATCCGATATTTTCTCTAAAATGGTTTGAAAGTGATATATCAAAATCAAGTATTAATGCATGTGTGTTTTCTGTTTTTGGAATGTATATAAAAATGTAATCCGAAAAAGATCCGGTATTTTCTGTTTTAAGTAGAAGGTATTGTTTAACTGTATATTTCCCCAGAAAATCATATATTTTCTGTTTACAAAAGTGTCGTGGTCTCAAAACCCTAAGACCGATTATTAGTGTATGTATGTTTTCGTATCGACAAGATTTTATATGTATTCCGTAAAATTATGATGGAGAGAGAATCTCTATGTGAGCCGTTTTAGCCATACTTGATTATGAGGAATTCGCCTGTCGTGGCGCTATCAGACGTCGACTTGTTTAAGGTAAGGTTTGTCACCCCGTCGACTTGTTTAAGGTAAGGTTTGTCACCCTAGACTGGCCTAGTCTAACTGTTGCGAACAGCTTAGGTGTGAGGTGTCACCCCGTATAGTTCTATACACAAATTCCCGCTCTCCCTCCAAGAGACTCTGGTTATAACTACATGCTACGATTGTACACTCTAGAGGTGTCAACCGACATGTCTCACTAGATCCTTAACTGAGTTTACGCGAATGTTGTATCATGTTATGTATAATGTTTTCCGTGTACGTTTTATGTTTAAAAAGTCCAACGAGTATGTATGTGAATGTACGAGGACCAACAGACATGTAGAATGACCACTAAGGCCCAATAAACATGTAATGTATAGTCCAGGCCCAATAAGCATGTAAATGGACCACTAAGGCCCAATAAACATTTAATGTATAGTCCAGGCCCAATAAGCATGTAAATGGACCACTAAGGCCCAATAAACATGTAATGTATAATTCAGGCCTAATAAGCATGTAAATGGACCACTAAGGCCCAATAACATGAAATGTAAATATTAAGCCCAATAAACATGTAATCGATGTATTTAGTTCGTTTGTTATTACATTGTTTGTTTTAACTCGATTGTTTTCTAAAATGACACAAAAAGGCCCACTTTTTGTAATGATGACATTTTTGGCCCATCAAGCCCAAAATTTACAATTTAGGCATATTTTTGATAAAATTGACACTTTAGGTCCCTTAAGACCTAAAGTTTACATTTATGGGCTTATTTCAAATAAAATGACATTTTTAGCCCACTATTGTTAAATATAGCATTTTTCGACCCAATATCATGAAAATTGACATTTTCGGCCCAACTTGATAAAAATTGACATTTTCGGTCCAATTATTTAAAAATGACAATTTCGGCCCAATTTAATAAAATTGACAATTTTAGCCCTTTTTAACCGAAAAACAACATTTTTGGCTCAAGTTTGTTTAAAATGACAATTTAGTCCACAAAAGTCATAATTTTTCCAATTTTTGTCCCATAAAACCGTGAAGGCCCAATTTAAGCCCATTATGTGAAAAATTTACTCTTTTGGCCCTTTTTAAAACCATAACATCATAAAGACCCATTTTTATACAAAAATGTCTCTTTGGTCCTTGAAAAACCGTAAGTATCATAAAAGCTTCATCCCTTTTTGTTTATTTGTCAAAAATGGTCCCGTTACAAGATTTTGTTTAGTTTTTCAACATCCTTAACATGTTTAACACTTTCATCCTTATGGTAAGTTGTATAAAGTGTTTTAGTTTACAAATATTGTCAAGACTTGATAGAGTTTTCGAGATCTATGAAGTTTCCTCACATAATCACAACATATAACTTAGAAAACACACATAAACATGCACAAATACATAGATCTATCACATAAGCAACTTGTATCCTCCCCCAAAACATAGTAAAGCCGAAAAAACAAGGGGTATGGACTCACATTGCTTTGATGTTTTTGGTTTTTGGTGATGAAATGAGTAGATCTTGGCCCTGGCAAGCTTCTTGAGAAGGATTTTCGAACTTAGATGGTTCTAAGAAGAATGATTCACGAAAACATGGGTGTAAGAGGAGTGAATGAGTTTAAAGATGAAGTATAACACTTGGGTTTGTAAGATCTTACCACAATGTGAAGCTTGAATTGATTCTGTTGAAGATCTTCCTTACCCACGATTTTCTTGAGAGAAGAAGGGTGGAAGAGAGTTGAGAGAATAAGGGTTGAGTTTGAAATGAGAGAGAGGTTGGAGAGTGAGAGAGTGGCCGAGAGATAAAGTGAGAGATAAGAGAGAAGTAGGAAGTTGACTTTGGTGGAGAGTGAGTTGATGTTTGCCTTGATACATGCAAACCTTGCATGGATATCCAACAAGTAATGGTGAGGTGTCACTCCATTTCCCTCCCATTTGCTTCTTTTTTTTTGTTTGGGCCGAGAGAGGGGAGAGAGGGAAGAAAATGAGGGAATTTGGGCCCTTTCTTGGCTTAGTTTGAAATTATGAGGCCCAAAGTAATTATTTTCCGGCCTATTGGGCCTTTATGGAGGTTCACAGCCCAATGAAACCCAAGGAAGTAGTTTACGGCCCATTAGGGCTAATGAAATCATTTATGGCCCAACATGGCCCATTAGGGATAAAATGAACTATTCTAGGCCCACATGACCCAAAATGTTTTAGTTTCATGAATGTGGGTTCATATAGAGCCCAATTAGGGTTCCTTAGCCCAAAATAGTCAAATTGAAAGTTTATTGGTCCATTAGGCCCAATAAGAGGATCCTAGTCCATATTAACTTGAACCGGGATTTCTAGGGTTTTCAACCCATAGTTGACTATATGAAATGTATTGTATTAGGTTATGGGCTTCTTGAGTGAGGTTGGATTCAAATGGATGATTTTGATTAAGCATAGAGTATGATTTTCACTTAGAGTACATGCCTTACAATAGATGATGTTTACATGAG